AGAAAGGCCACAGAGGGTCGCGACAAGAATAATACGGCGAAACCTGAGCAACAGACCTAATTGGCTAATAAATTGTTTACCATCGTTTAGCATTTACGCCTTAGCCACGAGGCATGCGACTAATTAGAACCGTCAGAAACCTGCGGTTCCAAATGCGGCGGGAAGCAGCTTCGGGGTCCAGGTTCCAATTCGTCGACTCGCTAGCCAGCCTGTTCCAACACACGTATGCCATACTGATCGTGAATGACCAGCATGGAACAACAGCCGAGAAACAGCGATGTTCAGAGGAACGGGTTTCAGGCCCAAATAAATCGGATCGGCTGCTGCAGGGGACCGAGACAATAACCGATTACAATCACTACCATTTTTACCCTGAGGTATGCTTGAGATACACGATGGGCGGAAAGGTGACCTATCATCAAATAAACCAGTTGCTAATGTTATTCATTAGCGTATTAACTGGTTGTGCCTACTTCGCATTGTTTTTCAACAGGTGACGGCTGCTCATGATGCTACGATCAATCAATCAATCAATCAATCAATTTCAACAACAAGTAGCCCACAAAACTAGGTGTATGTCCACATTAGGTGTATATCATTAAAATGTTTAACAAGCCTTGTACGGACGATAGCCTAAGCGCACTGAACGAGAACTATAATGCCAGCAGGAACCTTAGAAGTAGAGCTGACGTTTAGATACGACAACAGGAAAGAACATAGAAGAATAGAAAGAAGAGTAGTCAACTGCCCGGTTCTGTCCACAACGTCCACTTCAGAAAGGCATGATTATTTAGACATGTTTATGGGCGTGTTTTACTACGAGTATTCATCACATGAAAATAGCGCTAAACATGTGAATTAGCAAGACATGAATACCTCAAGCAGACTTTAGATTTCCGTCTCGCATTCCCCGTTTTGCAGAAGATTAACGCTTAAGCTTGCTACAGCCCAGGTGGCGATGACAAACAGCAATTCTACAGGTGGTTATCAATCAAGTGAGTTTCCGCAATTCCAGAAAGGTGCAATGAGTTCCCTTGAAGGAGCGTCCTCTGATATCTACGAGATGACAGAGACAAAACTCGGTGGAGTCAAGCCTCCTTAACATTACGGTAGCCAGAAACAAACCGACAAAGGGTCAGATATCAAAGGGAGCTTAGCAGCGGGACCCACTTCTTGTAATTCCTATCTTCACCTCGAACAGGGAAATCGAAAATGGTGGAGGTCATCGTCTATATCTGCTGAGGACGACGTCTCAACAAGTTCCTTCTTAAACAACGTCGTCTGGTCCACAGTACAACATTCAGCTTCGCGTCTGACACTCGGTTTTTGCGCCATTCGTCACGGTCGAGGAATGCGTCGCATTCCACGGGCACATGCGGCAGTCGACAAGCGTTCGGTCGCTTATTGACAAACCCTGTTGCCGGGACGAGCCTGTAGATACTGTACAAAAACATACAGATGGCCGGTCAGACAGGCCACGTCTGTCTGAGAACCGTGTCCAACGCCCAGACAGCAGCAGACGACGCTTTCGACTGACTGCCAAGAAAAAAGCTTCGAAAAGCGATGGTTCAATGGAAACTCGAAGGCGAAGCGTCGACTGAAGATGCACTTTGGGTCGAAGTATGCTCTTTAAGGGGGACGTTTAAAAATGTCATATAATTTGCATAACGGTTGTTGGACGACCCATATCACCCGTTGCAAGTTCTGATTTTAAAGGTTTATTCTGTGCTTGATGGCATAGGGAGCAGTCACACAGCCTAGGGTGCGAAACGAAATATACTGCCATTCGGTTATGCCGCTTCTGTCGAGGGTTTTGCGAGACCCAGAGGGAATAAAACTATCTAATACGTTTGAAGGTTGATCTGTATAAATTTGTAAAACTGTTACGCATTTTCAAATAGCGGTGACAGCAAAGCATGTAGCATGAGTTAAAAAACTGATTGATTAGATCAGCGACGTCTTGGGGTTTTTACTTTTACGAGAGAAACGTCAAACACGCTGGCGAGGTGTTGACGAAGCGTGTATTCATGTGACTGAGCTCAAAGAGAGATCACTCAGTAAAGCGATGCTTCATAAAAGCAAAGAATGTGAAATTACTTTAAACGTACTGATAACCATGTTTTTAACCTCAGGAAAAACTCGGTGATGATAC